GAAAGTATAGAATCACATTGCAAACTACTTGTCCCCATACACCACTACAAAATGACATCATGGAACGGAAACATCATCATATCCTTGAAGCAGCTTGAGCTCTCATGTTTCGGGTCGGTCTTACAAAACGATTTTGGGGTGAATGCATATAGACAACGACCTACATCATCAACTGTCTCCCCTTAAAGGTTCTCAACAAAAAAATTCCTTATGAGATCGATTTCAATCAAAAGCTCGACTATAAGGTCATGGAGACTTTTAGGTGCCTAACCTACTACAAGAGTAACGAAACTGGAGGGGTCAAGTTCGAACTCAGGAGGAGACAAGTTTGAACTCAGGAGGAGGAGACCTGGAGTTTTTATTGGATATCCCCAAGGAACCAAAGGGTACAAGGTCTTTGATATCGAATTCAGGAAAATGGTCATATATCGAGACATCAAATTTGTTGAGACTTATTTCCCTTTTACCAACATAAAGACAAGTCTTGATGATGCAAATTTCCTGCTTGGTACCACGTGCCATGATGTTGACCCCATGCATGAGCAAACAACCACCACTGAAAACCAATAATTAGAACCTAACGGTGATGGATCCAATGAGACCACTAAAAATGAAACAGAGGTTAAGCCTAATGATAACGGGAATGAAAATCTTGATGACACCACAACTGCTGCCCACCTTGAGGATGATGTCTTGGAAAGTCCCTCAATCCATCGTGAGGATCCTAAAAAAAACACATCACAACACACTCACATGGATATTCCACCAAGAGCTAAATGGACCAGGACTCAACCAACATATCTAAAAGACTACATTATGAATTTGCCTCCTTTCGTAGACCACACACAACCCACTCCTCACTCAACTTCTTCAACAATACACTCTCTTGCCAATAATCTCCTATATGATAAGTTTTCTAACACCCATAAGGCCTACTTAACAACTATCATAAAAATGAATCGAAAAGCTCTAAAGAAGCTATGCAAGACCAAAATTGGAAGGAAGCCATGCAAAAGAAATAACGAAGCTGGAAGAAAACGACACTTGGAGTCTTGAACATCCACCCAAAGGGAAACATTCCATCGAATCTAAGTGGGTTTATAAGATCAAATATAAACCAACCCGTGAAATCGAGAGATACAAAGCTCGTCTCTTGGCCAAAGGATTTACCTAAATCGAAGGCGTTGATTATCACGATACTTTTGCCCCATCGCTAAACTAGTCATTGTTCATTGTTTAATCACTGTAGATATTAAGCGGGATTGGCTGCTTCTCCAATTGGATGTCAACAACGCGTTCTTGCATGGAAATCTTCAAGAAGAAGTTTATATGAAGATTCCTCAAAGCTTCTCCACACAAAATGAAACCCATTTTTTTCGCTTCAAAAAGTCCTTGTACGGCCTAAAAGAAGCCTCTCGCTCGTGGTACCAATGGTTCACCACGACTTTGATTCAGATCAGATCCAAGTTGACCATTCCCTTTTCACTTTCAAAGAAGGTAACTCCTTTGTTGGCATTCTTATCTATGTGGATGACGTGATCATCATAGGAGACAACCTTGATAAGATTCAAGCCACCAAGACTCATTTAAACCAACTTTTTAGCGTAAATACTTGGGTACTATCAAATACTTCTTAGGCATTGAAGTGGCCAGAACCACAGATGGACTTGTGTTGAACCAGAGACAATACACAATGGATATTTTAGAAGACAACGGGTTTCTTGGTAGCCCGTTTCCTATGGAACAAAACCTAAAAATTAACCATTGTATTGAAAGCCAACAGACTGATGCCAAGCAATATCGTCGCCTACTCGAGAGACTTTTGTACCTCCAGGCTACCCGACCAGACATCGCTTACTCTGTCAACACTCTTAGTCGGTTCGTTTCCGATCCTCGTGAAGAACACATGGTAGCCATTACTCGCTTCCTAGTGTACCTTAAGTTTACTCTGGGAGAAGGTATCTACATTCCAAGAGCGGGGGAGTTGAAGGTCGTTAGCTACTGTGATGCAGATTGGTTGGGTTGCCCTTTCTCAAGAAGATCAAGAACTGGTTACATTCTTCTCTTAGGAGGGGCTTCGTTTTCATGGAAGACCAAGAAGCAGTCGGTAGTCTTTTGTTCCTCAGCGGAAGCTAAGTGTCACTCCATGACAGCTGTAACGACCCAATTTTTCATAGAAAATTTTCATTTTTGAATCATCAAACATATTTCCATACATTAAGAAATTTAGTTATAATTGTTTTCAAAACATAAGTCAAATACAACTTTTATTCCAAACATCAGAGTGTCCCGTGAAAGCGCCTGAGAGAGAGTGAACGCCGCGCCATCACGCCTTGTCCTTGCCCTTGGGATCTGAAGTACCTGAAACAAATCCACAACCTGTAAGCTAATGCTTAGTGAGTTCCCCAGAGCATACCCCACACAATCCACATATCATATTAGCTATAAAAGCTTCCTCTACCATATAACACATATCGATTAGCTATAAAAGCTACCTCTACCGCATAATACATATCAATTAGCTATAAAAGCTACCTCTACCACATAATACATATCAATTGGCTATAAAAGTTATCTCTACCATTTGCCACAAAGGCTATCTCTACCCTTATCCATAAAGGCTACCTCTACCATTATCCGTAAAGGCTATCTCTACCATTAGCCGTAAAGTCTATCTCTACCATTAGCCACCAAGGCTACTCTACCATTAGCTGTAAAAGCTATCTCTACCACGTATCAATGCATAAATATGCCACACACCTCTACACAACAAATATACCAACTATCACAAAATGGGCCGGCCTTGGTGCCTTAGACCCATTGGTATGGTGAGAAAACTCACCTCGAATGCAGAAGCTTTCTGAAAGAAATCCTTAGCTGCTGCTCTGTCCCCTTCCTGGGCTATCAATACCGATCAATATACTCAATTAGCAAGTGGGCCCCAATACCATAATCCTTAATCCATGCATGGGGGTAAAATGACCATTCTACCCCTGGCCCAGTATGATCCAAACTAAGGCCCAATCCCAAAACAAAAGCCCAACACTAGGTAGGCTTTCCAAGCCCACTAGTGGCCCACTAATGGCCCAATTTGCTAAATTGGGCCCAATCCCTCTAATGGGCCTTACCTTAAGCCCAAACATATTCCTGGGCTAAAACATCTGACTCCAGATGGTCCATTAAGGCCCAAAGGCCCAAAGTCCACTGCCTGGCCCAATCCGAGGCCTAAAACACTCCAAGCCCATAACTGATGAGTACGCGGGGCGTACTCCCTTGTACGCTAAGCGTACTGACTAAAGGTGGTATACGCTGCGCGTACCTGCATGTACGCCCAGCGTACTCCTCTGTTAAGCTACTCTTCCTTTAAGTGCTTAATACTCCATTCCAGCAGCTACAATTACAGATCCAAGTCCTCTTCGACATCTTAATCCATAAAGTTAATTACTTGGTGGCTTGCAATCCACCAAATGAGCCCAAACTTGAAATGTGACAACAAACTTCCATAAAAAGGGCTAGATCTCAAGCATGGCCACAAATGAGCCCTAAAGATTGAAACTTTACTGCTTATGGGACTCACATGATACTAAGGGTGGCAACCCTGGACCTAAAAACGTGCTTGAGTCATAAAGATCCATTCTTGGGACCAAAAGAGTCCATAAACTCATTCTAAGAGAGATCTAAGAGATTAATCATCAAGCTCAAGACTTTATACCTTGAAAAGGTCTGAAGTAAAGCAACAATCCTAGATCTGAACCTTCTCTTTTGCACCAACACCTTGCCTTGACCTTTGCTTCCTTGAAGGGTGGATCCAAAACACCAAAATGCTCTCACAAAGCCTTCCAAGCTCCAAGAACACTCAAAGAAGATTAGGGTTTCGTGAAAAATGTCTAAGGGTGAGAAGGAGGCTGACCCTAGAGGGTATAATGTTCTTTATATAGTGGCACACCCTAAAAATTAGGGTTAAGGGACTCTGAGTGTACGCTGGGCGTACACCTCCAACACCCGCGACCACTTATCCCTTCTATGTTGGGAGTACCCCAACTTACGTTGGGCGTACTCTTGTGCTGGCCACCTTGCATGCATGGGATCTCCTTGCCACTTTTCTCCACTAAGGACCAATAATTCCAATAACCTCAAAGTACTATAACTTCTTCATTCTAAGTCAGTTTCCTACGAACTTCATATTAACGAAAAGGTGGTGAGAAACCCCACGCTCCCAGCTCCACACCCGAGCCCTACAACCTTCCGAATAAGACCCGAAACCCATAAAAGGCCGAATCGACAGATTGTGTTGGGAGTATGTTTTGTGTTCTCTCTTTATAACCTTGTTTTGGTGAATGATAATAATAAGTTGGCTAAATATCGCTTTCTTCACAAATACTAACAATCAACAAGGAAAAGAGAAAAGTTATACCTAACTGATTTGATAACATCTTGCACCAAAACAAACAATAATACATATTTTTTTTCAACAAATTAATAAATCAAAATATCCAATGAATATCACTAAATCATCACATAGTTAATTACTCCACTCCTTGGCAGTTGGCACGGAAGGAGTAGGTTGGAGGTGGGAGGAGTCGGCGCCGCCAGAAGAGATGTCGCAGTTGGGAGGAGCTATAGTCGTTTAGGGCGAAGAAGAAAGAGCGTGTATTTGAAAGAAGGGAAATGTTATGACCTGGGATCTAGACCTCGTGACAGGACCAGTGCTAGTGCTTGAAAAAGCCGTGAACTCCCTTGTAACCTAGCTTCCTGTTTGCAGGAGACTAAACTAAGCTATTAACCTAATATTACTCTATTGATTGTTTTCAAATTCCAGCATATCTTATTTCATGAATGACTACCCTTTAAATAGGGATAAACAAAAGACTCAAATCAGGAAACAAAGACTTCTAAAATCGACTCAAATAATAAACGATCCTAATTGCCAAAATTAAAAACGGAAACAAGATAACTTCCTAGAATATAAAATACTTATTATCTATTAACTTAAAGACCTATCAAGTATGATTCATAACATTACTCCCTTCCTTTGCATTGAGCTTGTCCGCAAGCTCAAAACCTGGGTACGTGTTGGTAAAAACAGCACGATCATCCCAAGTAACATCTTCTTCATCCTTCAACATGATACCAAACAGTTTCGCACACTTATGGCCAATCGAGAACATCTCATCACAGTTAAAGCATAATCCTTTTGCTCGCCTTTCTGCCATCTCTGTAGCCGTAAGGCGTTTCAAAGTCGGGTTCCGCACTTCAGATTTCACTGTTCCGGCTCCACCACCTGCTGACTCTCGGTTTTTGCTTCCTGCCGAGGGTTGATTCCCAGTTAATAGAGGTGCTCCAAAACTCCTTGGTCGTCCCTCCTCCGCGAGTTTGAACTAAATCTGTCTGGCTAGGTTCATAGCATAGTATAGTGTGGTGGGTCTAGCAAACTCTACTTTATAACGGATAACATTAGTCAAACCTGCACAAAAATGCCAAATGCTTTGCTCCGGAGTCACACCCGTCGTTCGCCCTAGCAGCAACTCAAAGCCTTCACAATAGTCCTCTACCGTACCTGTTTGCCTTAATCGAGTTAACTCGCCTAACGGGTTCATGCTCATCGGGGGTCCAAATCTGATTTTGCACTCTTTTGAGAACTCAAACCAATTCAAACGGGTCTTCATTCTTCGCAGGTTATGGTACCACCCACTAGCCCGACCTTGTAGTGAAAAGGTGGCCTGCCTAACCCAAGCTTCAGTAGGGGTCTGTTGTTCTTCAAAGAAGTCTTCACATCTTTGAAGCCATTCGACTGGATTACCCTTCCCATCATAGGTGGGAAACTCCATCTTGGCGAATCTCGGTACTCTTCCCCTACGGTATCCCATATCTTCCGTCTCTTCCCAGTTTTTTGGTGCCCCTTGATCCATTCTGTTTGACCCTTCTGGTTTGAAGGAGTCCCAATGGTGTTTGAAAGGTTGGTGTTCACCTGTCCGCCATGATTCAAAAGCCTTGCTTGATCCTCTTCCTGCTCCTTCCTGGATCAAACCCTTACCACTTCCAGCAAAGCCTCCTTGGTACAAAAACTTACTGTTTGGATTGGCACCAAAGGTGGCGCCACGTCCTCTTCCACGCACCTGTTCCGATGGGTCATCAAATCTATCAGACTCGAACATCTTGTCCACGCTTTCATCTTCTTCTTCTTGTCTGTTGGATTTGTTTTGGGTTAGGGTTTGCAATCTCTCTTCCATTGCTGCTTGCTTGGTCTGCAAGGCTGCCATAGTCGCCTTTAAATCATTGGTACTTGTCTTCAAATCATTGTTGCTTTGCGTTTGCTGGATCATGAACGCTTCCAATTTCTTCATCAGCTCTTCCTGTTGTGTCGACATCACGAGCGGCTCTGATACCAAATTTGTTATGACCCGGGATCTAGACCTCGTGACAGGACCAGTGCTAGTGCTTGAAAAAGCCGTGAACTCCCCTGTAACCTAACCTCCTGTTTGCAGGAGACTAAACTAAGCTATTAACCTAATATTACTCTATTGATTGTTTTCAAATTCCAGCATATCTTATTTCATGAATGACTACCCTTTAAATAGGGATAAACAAAAGACTCAAATCAGGAAACAAAGACTTCTAAAATCGACTCAAATAATAAAAGATCCTAATTGCCAAAATTAAAAACGGAAACAAGATAACTTCCTAGAATATAAAATACTTATTATCTATTAACTTAAAGACCTATCAAGTATGATTCATAACAGGAAAACGAGAGGTCTTTTTTCAGTCAGCGTAATTTTGGGGAGGATCGAATCAGAGGTTTATGGATCAAGTAAGATTTACATTCAACTTTTTTCTTCACTCCATATTCTGCATCTTCAGATAGAAGATAGATGTCAGATTTTTGGAGGTACTTAGGTGGTCAAAGCTTGACTCTTCTTTTGTGATACATAAAATCATTTAACATTACATCAATGTCATGCCATTTCAAAGTGAAATGAAATGCATACAAATAGCTCAAAAGCATGCAAGGAATGGAGAGTGAGTAAAAAATGTTGAGCTGTGTAAATTGCTTTGATATTAGAAATTTTTTCTTAATATTTAAAATTTTCCATCTTTGTAAAGACGCATCTTGATCATCTATATTAGCATAAGTTTGATAAAATTCTCCAATGATATCTCTCACCATTAGCTTTGATTGCTCATCATCTAATCTAAAATAGAGATATATTTGAATGACTTAGGTAGGGTAAGGGGTATATAACGTTGTGCAAGAATAAAATTGTGTGTTAATATATATATATATATATATATATATATATATATATATATATATATATATATATATATATATATATATATATATATATATATATATATATATATGAAGTCATTATAATAATTATTCGTTTTAAAACATGGAACTTACTAAATAGTAAAACTGAAACAAATAAAAAAAATATACCAACAAAATTTTACATAATTTTTTATTTGGGGGATGTGTGTATGCATGGCGGTGTCCTTGGTTTCCAGTAGCAAGTTTTTTACAATATAGCGATCTTCATTGACTTATTTTTTTTACTACTACAAACATATGTTAAGTTTCTTAACAAAGAGCCATTCAGATGAATACATATCGACAGGATGCATATAGGGAACGTAAGAAAAGTAAAGAACACTGCAACTCTGAAAGTAGACTATATCAAGCAAGACATGTCAATTCAAAGCAGATCCTTCATTAACATATTTGAAACTTGCTGCATTGTTGGTCTTTCAAGCGGATTGGAGTTCAAACATGCTCTTGCGAGACTCAAAACCAACTTAACTTGTTTCTCAACTTGGGACGAGGGAGGCGGTATCCGACTATCTGCCACATTTGCTGCCACCAGATACTCAGCAGACAATGTTGGTAAAGATGTTATCAGTTCTCCAGGATGCTTTCCAATTATCACTTCTAGTGCAACAACTCCAAAGCTATACGCATCACATTTCTCATTTGCCACCATCGTATAAGCAAGTTCTACATCCAAAGAAGCATGGGATAAAAACAAAAAAAGCTATATCAACCCCACAAGATTCTAACATTGATATATATATATATATATATATATATATATATATATATATATATATATATATATATATATATATATATATATATCATTAAACTTAAGAATATGTAGAACTACAATCACAAGATTGTTTTACCAGGCGCGATATAACCATATGTGCCTATAATTGCGGTCCAGTTGGATGAATCGAGCTTTAAAAGCTTGGATGTGCCAAAATCAGAAATATGTGCTTCATAATCACAGTCAAGAAGGATATTGGCTATGGATATGTCTCTATGAATTATAGGAGGTGAGCAGTCGTGATGCATATAAGCCAAACCATTAGCTACACCCTTTACAATATTTACCCTTTTCAACCAATCCAATTCTTTTGCTAAGATCTCATTGCACAAGATTGATCCAAGGCTTCCCTTTTCAAGGTATTCATAAATCAAAAATGAGTGGCGAACATGGGAGCAATATCCATAGAGTTTCACTATGTTCCGATGCCTTATGTTCGTTAATGCTCGTACCTCATTAAGGAATCCATTATGATCAGCATTCTCAGATGATTGGTGAAGTTTCTTGACCGCTACCACAATGTCAGGTTGTAGCTCGGCTTTGTACACAGTCCCATATCCTCCGGTCCCAATGAAGTATGCATCATCGAAATCATTTGTTGCCTTCAAGATATCAACATACACTACTTTTCCATCAAAACTTGTAATGGAGAAATAATCACCACTTTCTTCGTCCGATGGTTTTTGTGGAGACTTTTTCTTATGTTGTTGATAAGCAATTAGGCCATACGTGAATACACCAAGTAAAATAGCCCCGATAAGAGGGAGCATAATTACAAGGATAAGTTTATGATGAAAGGGATCATTTTTCTTTTTCATAATTTGAATTGGACAAAGTTTCACCCCCGTAATATTCCCACACAAATCTGTATTGCTTTCTATGGACGTATTCACAAAGTTGGCGCAAGGGGGGACCGGACCTGAGAGCTTATTGAAAGAAAGGTTAATATCAATCCCGTTGGGCAAACTTGTAAAAGCATCAGGAATGGAACCAGATAGTCTGTTGTGAGAAAGATCCAATTTTTGCAAACTCTGCAAACTTTGAACTTCAGATGGTATCTCTTTCGTGAGAAAATTATGAGATAAATCAAGTTCCGTAAGATGAACTAATTTACCAATCTCGGATGGAATTGTCTCACTGAGCTTGTTATTACTAAGATTCAAGTAGTGGATGTGTGTCCATTGACCAATACTTCTTGGGACTGACCCATTAAATCTATTTTTGGATAGATCGAGTACTTCAAGGAGTTCACAAAATCCAAGCTCTAGAGGTATAACACCCGAAAGTTGGTTGCCAGTCAAGTACAAATCCAACATACTTTTCATCTTCCCAAACTCCTTTGGGATCTCACCAACCAAATGATTCGAAGACAGATTAAGTCTTTGTAGTTGAGTTAAATTTCCGAACTCTGGAGGAATAGAACCATTAATTTGATTGTTGTTCACTTGAAAATCAGTGAGATACTTCAACTTCCCAAGTTCACTAGGAATGGCACCAGCAAGCTCATTCTGGTACATATAAAGCCCATTTAAAGATGTCAAATCACCAAATGATGAAGGAATAAAACCACTAAGCTGATTTCTGCTCACTGAAAGATGAGTGAGAGACTTCATCTTCCCAAGTTCACTAGGAATGGGACCAGATAATTTATTACAACTGAGGGTCAGCCAGTTTACGTTGCTGAGGTTTACTAGTGATGAAGGAATAGAGCCACTAAGTTGATTGTGGCTCATATCAAGCTTATTGAGAGACTTCAAATTCCCAAGCTCAACAGGAATGAGACCAGAGAATTGATTTTCGTAAAAAAAAAGGAAATTCAAAAATGTCAAATCACCCACTGATGAAGGAATAGAACCACTAAGCTGATTTTTGTACATCGCAAGATGAGTGAGAGACTTCAATTTCCCAATTTCAAGAGGAATGGTACCAGAGAGTTGATTTTCGTGCAAATAAAGGATATTCAAAGATCTCAAATTACCCAATGATGAAGGAATAAAACCACTAAGTTGATTGATGTTTACCTCAAGATCAGTGAGGGACTTCAAATTCCCAAGCTCAATAGGAATGGGACCAGAGAGTTGATTTTGGTACAAATAAAGTACATTCAAAGATGTCAAATTACCCAATGATGAAGGAATAAAACCACTAAGCTGATTGTTGTACACCGCAAGATGAACGAGAGACTTCAATTTCCCAAGTTCAACAGGAATAGGACCAGATAGTTGATTTTCGTTCAAATAAAGGATATTCAAAGATGTCAAATTACCCAATGACGAAGGAATAGAACCACTAAGCTGATTTTCGCTCACCTCAATATTAGTGAGAGACTTCAAATTCCCAAGTTCAACAGGAATGGGACCGCAGAGTAGATTTTGGTACAAAATAAGGTCATTCAAAGATGTTAAATCACCCAATGATGAAGGAATAGAACCACTAAGCTGATTTTTGTACACCGCAAGATGAGTGAGAGACTTCAAATTCCCTAGTTCATTAGGAATGGGACCAGATAGTTTATTTTGGAACAAATAAAGGAAATTCAAAGATGTTAAATTACCTAATGATGAAGGAATAGCACCACTAAGTTGATTGATGTTCACCTCAAGATCAGTGAGAGACTTCAAATTGCCAAGTTCAACAGGAATGGGGCCAGAGAGTTGATTTTGGAACAAATAAAGGAAATTCAAAGATGTTAAATTACCAAATGATGAAGGAATAGAACCACTAAGTTGATTGTTGTACACCGCAAGATGAGTGAGAGACTTCAAATTCCCTAGTTCATTAGGAAGAGGACCAGATAGTTGATTTTGGAACAAATAAAGGACATTCAAAGATGTCAAATTGCCCAATGATGAAGGAATCAAACCACTAAGCTGATTGGTGCTCAGCTCAAGATCAGTGAGAGACTTCAAATTCCCAAGTTTAACAGGAATGGAACCAGATAGTTGATTTTGGTACAAATAAAGTACATTCAAAGATGTCAAATTACCCAATGATGAAGGAATCGAACCACTAAGCTGATTTATGTTCACCTCAAGATCAGTGAGAGACTTCAAATTCCCAAGTTCAATAGGAATAGGACCAGAGATATTGTTTGAGTATAAGTACAAGATAGTTAGCTGGTGCAGGATTCCTATTTCAGGTGGGATTACTCCAGAAAACTTATTCAACGAAAAATCAAGATATACAAGTTTGGACAAAAGTTGGATTTCTGGTGGGATAGGGCCAAAGAAGTTGTTTAGTCTGAGATCAAAATGTGTAAGATTGTGTAGCAAAGAGAATGAAAATTGATGAAGCGTACCCTTTAATGCAGATGATGTGAGGTTCAACTTCTGAATGCTCCCATCAGCATTGCAAACTACTCCAAACCAAGAAGTGCATGGGGCAAATGCACTGGAATTCAAAGGGATAGGAATCCATGAAGAGAGCAAGGAGTTTTTTGGGATTTGAAGGCTTGCTTTCCATTTAAGTAGAGCATTGGTTTCCTCCAAAGAAGCAGAAGTGAAATTTGGTATGGGGAAGAGTGTGATGATTAGTAAAGCCAGAGAGAAAAATAAGAAGTTTGAAGAAGAAATTATTTGCTTTGCCATGTTGCTTTCAATAAAAAATGAATGGTTCTGATATCCTAATTTATACTTGAGCTACGTTGTTCACTTGTTTTCTTTTTCACTTGCTTGAAAAGGACATTTGGTCAATGTCATATTTTTCCAGGAGGCGTGTGTTTTAACGTGTCAACATTTTCCACAAAGGTGTGTATTACACTTTGAATTGTATCTTTCTCACATGACATTGATCCTTTTTTAGAACAATAAAATTCGTTGTAACCCGAAATTTAGCAAGGCGCTAGGATTACAAAAGACAACATGCGGTATTATATGTTATTGTTTGATTTAACTATGTGATAATATAACTTAGCTTGATTATTTAGACATATTTACTTTTGTTTTCTGATAAATGCCAATAGAAATTTCACTTCAACTGTGTTTTACTTCATAATTAGTTCTGTAGCCAAGACTATTACATAGATGATCCATGTGAAAACTGTGTGAATAGGACAATGGAAATAGGGACATAACATAGCGGTCCTTTAAAAGACTCTAAAAAAACAAATGCACATGGTGTGGTCATTGAAGGTGTGAATGAGGGAAAACCATAAATTAAAGAACATAAATATAAAGATAATTAAATAAAAACTGATGGTTCTTATTGTACCCAGCATTCATTTCATCTGTTAATTTCTTTTATATCCTGCAGAAACAACAAAAAGTTTTCATACTTGCATAGACATAAAAATGAAGATAGTTAAATAAAAAGTGAAATACAAGTAAGTTATTGTTTGTCGCACCCCCAATCGCCACCACCAATCCTGATGACAGTAATTCTATTTTTCATTTACACCAGAAATCATCACTCATATTCCTGTAAACAATCTTTCTAACATGTCTTCCATAGATTTGTATATCAATTTTGTGCGCGTCTTCACTATTATCATCATGTCCTCCATGAACTAATGAATCATTTTTCCATATTTTTCTATATTTTTATGTAGTTCTGAACTTTCTTCATTCAGCAAATCAGAAGCAATTCTTAACAACATAGCAGCAGAAATTACCTGTCAAGAATCGCCAATTGAAAACCATTCACTTGCAGGCCTTTTATAAGAGAAATTACCTGATTGTTGTAGCTGTGTTGAAGCTTAAGAATCGGAGAGGTGGCTAATGGAACGTACATCAAGGAACCAATTATATTGAATATTTTTGTAAAGTCAATATTGTAATTTTGTCCATTATCATGTCCATGATTATAGGAGAAGACTGCGTACATATTTTTAGCTTTCCCTCTGTATATATATTTTGATATCGATCCCTGTAATGTTGAGTTCTTGATTTTCGAATCCTATCATGGTATCAGCCTAATATATCGATCATTCCTCCCTAAAAACATCCAATTCTTCTTCATCCTCCATGGCTGGTACTTCTTCCTTAAACAAAATCCTATCAGTGGCGCACTGATGTTGCCACGGTGGTCGATTAGGCGTTAGGAATGGGCCGTGGGGGTAGCAGACTAGCAGTGGCAGGTGGAGGTAGAGGGTTGGAGAAGGTATTGGGATTTGAAGAGACGCATTCTCTGATGTTATGTGCAGCGTCTGATCTTTTTTATTTTTCTCTCTTTTTTATTTTTTAATTAGCTCTTTAAGGGTAATTTAGGGAAATCAAATACAATAACAAGGGGATGGTAGATAATGACAAGTGGCATAATTTCATGGGTATGAATATTTGTAGTGGCATAATTTCATGGGTATGAATTTGTAGGAAGAAAAAGAAGGAACCAATTTAATTTCTCAAAAAACAAATGGACGTCTGTGTTCATTGAAGGAGATATTTCCTTTATCTCTTGAAGTGTCTAAAACATCTCTAACTTGCAGACTAAAACATGAAGATAATTAAATAAAAAGTGAAATACAACTGAATTATTGTTTGTTTCTTATATTTCCACAACTGATTAGTTTACACAAATCTTTGGAATTTATCTGCACATCCCATTTCATGATCAATTCTTTCTCTTAGCGTCCTTTTCTTCATATATATTAGTGACAGAATTCTCGACCGATTTTTTGTTGGAATAAAAGTGTAATATAACTACGAGTAAATTTTTAGACATATTTTTATTTTCCAAGTAATTTTAATAAAATTTTCATTTCAAAAACAAAGATATCTATCAAATTGATCAATGCTCCCAATTTGACAGCCATAAGAAAGGAGGAATTATGTCTTAAAAAAACGAATTAAGCAACAAAAAGAAAACTATAAATTTTGATGTCTCCGCATCGTAAGAAAGAATTGTGCACATGAAGCTTTGAGATCAAAGCAAGGGCAACACAAAAAACGGTTGAATATTATTATCTAATTTGCTATTATAACCCTCCTTACACGATGAGGTGTAAGAGGTGGGTTCTTGCACAACAAAGAAACTTAAGGAGTTGCTTAGGATTCAAGTAAATAGTGGTCGCTTAGGCATTAAGCAAGAAGGTTTTATATGGCAATTTGTAATCAAGTGGGATTTTAATTGTTCGCCATATATAGATGCATATGATCAAGTAGGATCATATCAGAAAAGAGAGTTACAGAGAGTTGATTTGATTGTAGTAAAGTTTTGAGATAGTTTCTTTGTTATAATAATAATAATTTCTCGCTTCTTGGTGTTCTTATTTTTCTGTGTTTTACCAATTATTTACAACAATTGGTATCAGAACATATGTAACATCAGAGTGATCTGCAAATCATGACGGAACCGGTGGATCCAGAACGTCCGGAACAAAGGAAAGTTCGTCCTTGTCACTCCATATGCCGCTGTTGTCTGCAACGAATTACACCGTATGGGCAATTCGCATGAAGGTGATCTCAAACTTACATCAAGTTTGGTATGTCTTCAATCCAGGAGCGAATGACACGAAGAAGAATAATATCGCTATCGTAGTTCTCTTCCAAGTGATTCCGGATGACCTTATTTTGCAAGTAGGAATGATGAGTACGGCTAAAGATATTTGGGATGCCATTAAAACTCGTCACCTTGGCAAAGAAAGGGTAAGAGAAGCACGACTACAAACTCTAATCACCAAGTTTGATAACTTGAAGATGAAGGAATCCATCATTATTGATGAGTTTGCAACCCAAATGTCAGACATCTCATGGAAATCTGCATCACTTGGTGAAACCCTAAGCGAAAGCAAACTCGTCAAGAAATTCCTTACCAGTTTGCCAAGAAGGTTCATTCATATCGTTGTTTTGATTTAACAAGTTCTCGATCTCAAAACAGTTGGATTCGAAGGCGTAGTTGGTCGTTTAAAAGCTTATGAAGAACACATTCGTGAAGTTGAATTGGCGAGTGATCAAAGTAAATTGATGTTTCACAAAACCGAAACATCAAATCGGGGCTCAGACTCGAAAGATACGATCCCTGTCCCAGGTCGTTTTGGTGTGATCTATAGGAGGCGAAAGTAAAAAGGGATCAGGGGTTTTTTAGTAATTTATTTAAGTTTGTTTATTTCAGGAATTAGTTTTATTTATTTTAGGAGTTTACCTTTTATGTTTGGGTCGGTGATTTAGTTTCCTTTTTGTTTGCTATAAGTATCGTATTGTATTAGACTTATCTTTTTATGCAAGAAAAAGTATTGGAGTTTATCTCTTGTGGAGTCTACCTGTGACTCGAATACAAGTTATACCAACCGGCGTGTATCAATTGGTATCAGAGCAAAACGATTCTGGCGGCGCACTGTTCACGTGCGTACTGTTCACTGGAATTACTGTTCACGCGGCACTTTTCGTCGGATCACTATTTACGTCGGTATTGTTCATCGATTTTTTTTGGGCGATGGGAACAAAGCTCAATAATACCGATCGCATTGGACTGCTTGAGTCCGATGTAACCAAGATGAGAGAGGAAGCAGAAAGCCATCAGGTGGAGGTGGCGATGCAACTTCAGGAGATTTTGGAACCGATTAAGGACCGAAGGTCGAGCGGGACAAGAAGAAAAAAAGAAGAAGAATGAGTTCGATAGTGAGAGAGATTCATCAGACAGCGATGATGACAAATCCAAGGGTTCTTGTGGTCATATGGGTTTTGGTTTTTACAAAGGAAAGAACAGGGACTCATTACGTGATTTCCAAAAAATCAAGATGCCTATCTTTTTAGGAGAAGATGCGTATGGATGGATTTATCGGGTCGTGAGGTACTTTGAACTGTAGGGGATCAACAAGAAGGATCAATTGAGGGCAGCAGGTTTATGCATGGAATGGGCTGCACTCGCATGGTATCGATGGGTGGAGGCACAATCATCATGCCATACATGGGAAAAGCTCAAGAAGAAGCTACTGGTTCGCTTTCAACCATCATACGAAGGTAATGTTTATCAACAATTCTTGTCGGTTCAACAAGTAGGAACGGCTCGTGACTATGTGTGCGAGTTTGAGAAATTAGCCGGATAAATGCTTGACTTTCCTGAAGAGGTTTTGGAAGCAACATTTATTAAGGGATTGAAATCCGAGTTGAGATCATTGGTAAGAATAATGGAACCAAAAAGTTTATCAAATGCCATGAAGGCAGCGGTAAGAATCGAAGAAAACAAGAATGGTGGAGCGTCAAAAACATGAGGTGGAGCGGTAAGAGGCAGCACCGACAGTCAGTTCAAAACCGGCACACCATTATCAGTTGGCAACCAAGCAACAATCAAGAAGGAAGGGGGTACATGGGTCCATTTAAACGTCTCACTGAAACAGAAATCGCTGAGAAATGAGCGAAGGGTTTATGCTTTAGGTGTGATGGAAAGTTTAGGCTGGGACACAGCAAAACACTACAAGTGTTGATTGTTGAAGAAGAATAAGAAAAAGAAGGACGAGAAGGGGAAGAAGATGACACGGAACATGCATACTTTGATATGGCTGAAGTATCGTTAAATTCAGTCAACGGACTCACCTCGCCACACACGATGAAAGTAAAAGGAGAGATGGGAGGCATGGAAGTGGTGGTGCTTATCGACATTGGACCCACCCATAATTTCGTTTCTACCAATCTAATCATGAAGCTAGGAGTGGAGGCTTCCGGTACCAATGCAGTAAAAGTGAAACTAGGTAATGGGATGATGGTTGTAAGCTTGGAAACCTGCAAAGGAATCATGTTAAACTTACCAGAATTACAAATAATTGAAGAATTCCTACCTTTTAAACTTGGTGGGTCAAACGTGATTTTGGGCATAAAATGGTTACAGACCTTGGGTGACATGACAATGAATTGGCATGAGCTCTAGATGCAATTCTGGGAGGGAATCGTCTTGTAACAATTAAAGGTGATCCTAGTTTATCTAAAACTCTAACCTCTTGTAAAACACTTTGTAAGTTATTGCAGCATGAAGTGGAGGGGTACCTCGTCCACTTAAACGTGAAAGAAGAAACAGGCATGGAGATGGAACTCTCAACAGGGATTCAAACTATAATTAACACCTACAGTGAAGTGTTTGAGATGCCTTCTGGGATTCCTCCTCTGCGGAGCCATGAACATGCGATCGTCCTCAAGGAAGGCAGTGCACCTATTAGTGTGCGCCCATGTCGATATCCACATGATCAAAAAGACGAGATAGAAAGATTGGAGTAAGAGCTGTTAGATGCCAAAATTATTCAACCCAGCAACAGCCCATTTTCAAGTTCCGTTCTTCTGGTTAAGAAAAAAGATGGAGATTGGCGTTTTTGTGTGGATTACCGTGCACTCAATAAAGCCACGGTGTTGGATAAATTTCCAATTCCGGTCATTGATGAACTCGTAGACGAGTTACATGGAGTGGTGGTGTTTTCTAAACTCGACTTGAAGTCGGGGTATCATCAAATCAAAATGAGGGCCGGAGATGTTCATAAAGTGGCATTTAGGACGCATGAAGGGCATTATAAATCCTTGGTTATGCCGTTTGGTTTGACTAATGCACCAGCTACATTTCAGTAATTGATGAATAAGGTATTCCAGCCTTATTTGAGACGATTTGTTTTGCTGTTTTTTTATGACATATTAATTTATAGCAAATCACAGCAAGAACATCAGAAACACTTGTCTATTATCCTACAATTACTACATGATAATAGGTTGTACGCACACAAGAGGAAGTGTTTTTTTTTTTGGAAAAAGAAAGTTGAGTATCTTGGCTATATCGTGTCAGAGGAGGGGGTGTCGGCTGATCCGCTTAAAATCAGTGCTATGCTCAAGTGGCCTATGCCAAAGTCTAATTGTGAGCTTAGAGGGTTTTTGGGTTTGACAGGTTATTACCATAAGTTTGTTAATGATTACAGGAAGATTGTGTGATCTCTTACGGAGCAACTAAAAAAGATAGTTTTAATTGATCTAATGAAGCTTCGGAGGCGTTTAAAAAGCTTCAAACCGCAATGACACAAGTACCAGTTTTAGCGTTACCCGATTTCAACAAACAATTCGTGTTGGAGACGGATGCTTCCGAATATGGGTTAGGGCGGTTCTTATGCAATAAGGGAGACCACTGGCGTTTTTTAGTCATACAGTGGGTGCTCGATCGAGATTGAAATCAATTTACGAGCGGGAACTCATGGCCATAGTTATAGCAATTCAGAAGTGGCGACCTTATTTATTAGGAAGGAACTTTGTGGTTCGAACTGAGCAGAAAAGCTTAAAATATCTCCTGGAGCAACGTATAGTAACCGAAGACCATCAAAAGTGGTTATCCAAACTACTATGATATAAGTTTGATATCGAATACCGTCCCGGGAAAGATAATGGTGTTGCAGATGTGCTCTCACGGAAGACCCCCGAAGCACAACTCTCGATAGTAACGACTAGTGAGGTCTATTGGGTAGAGTTGTGGCAAGATGTTGAGATGGATGATGAGTTGCATTTGATAAAACAACAGGTCATCACAGGTGCATCCAGACTAGCATGTTACACGGTAGAGCAAGGAAGATTGCTATTTAAAGGGAAGATAGTTTTGCCAAGGCGTTCTAAATAGGTGTTAATTTTGTTCAATGCGTTTCATGGGGGAGTAGTGGGTGGTCATTCGGGGATGCAGAAAACTTACCAACGATTAGATCGGGAAGTTTATTGGAAGGGTATGAAAGGTGATATAGCTAAACTAGTAGTGGAGTGCGACATTTGCCAACGACAAAAGTATTTGACAATGGCGCCAAGTGGGTTATTACAACCTTTGGAATTACCGACGGCTATTTGGTCGGAAATTACTATGGATTTTATTGCCGGCTTACCTCGATCGGATGGGTACTCGGTCATCATTGTCGTGGTTGACCATCTCAGCAAGTATGCACATTTTATTCCAGTCAAGCACCCTTATACTGCACTGATTATTGCTAACCTTTTTGTCAAGGAAGTAGTACGTTTACACGGGTACCCGTATCTATTATGTCAGGGATAAAGTATTCTTGAGTTATTTTTGGAAGGAACTATTTCGGTTGCAAGGTACCACACTTAAGAGAAGTACCGTCTATCATCCTCAAACAGATGGACAAACGGAGATGGTTAATCGATGCTTGGAGACTTATTTACGGTGTTTTGTAGGAGATACTCCCAAGAGATGGGTTAAGTGGTTACCGTGGGCTGAGTATTGGTATAATACTTCATTCCATATGTCCACTAAGACGACGCCTTTTCGTGTCTTGTATGGTTGTTATCCACGTCGCTTGTTATATTATGGTAGCTTGAAAACGCCAAGTTAGCAATCTGCATCAGTATTTGGAGGAAAGGGACCGGGTTTTACAAGAATTAAGGGGGTATTTAATTAGAGCTCAACAAGTCATGAAAGCACAAGCTGATCTCTATAGGAGGGACATGGAATATGAGGTGGGGGATTTGGTTTATCTTAAACTCAAGCCTTATCGTCAACACACAGTGGCAAGATGTCGAAATGAGAAATTGGCGCCGCGTTATTTTGGACCTTTTGAGGTACTTGAACGTATTGGTAAGGTTGCTTATCGATTAAAACTTCCGGACAATGCAAGGATACATGTTGTCTTTCATGTATCACAGCTCCGCAAAATGATTGGGAATCGGACAACAATGCCTCAATTACCTGCTACCTTGACCGAAGACATGGAGGTTTTACTAAGTCCGGGAAGGTTGAAGGAGTTCGTGATGGGGAAGCTGGAAAGGAAGTTTTGATCCGTTGGGCTAATTTACTGGAATATGAAGCAATGTGGGAGCCTTTGTAAGCAATGGTTACACAGTTTCCCGAATTTAACCTTGAGGACAAGGTTCGAGTTTGGGAGGGAAGTAATGATACGATCCTTGTCCCGAATCATTTTGGTGTAATCTATAGGCATCGAAAGTAAAGAGGGCTCAGGGATTTTTTTAGTAATTTATTTAAGTTTGTTTATTTCATCAATTAGTTTTATTTATTTTAGGAGTTTATCTTTTTTATGTTTGGACGAGGAGCAGGACGTGGTGGTCGCCACAATAATTCATACCAATAGCAAAATCGTTCCACAACACCTATCAACGGAGACTCCGACAAATCAAAAGGTAAGACTAAATACCAATCTAAAGTACGATGTTATAGATGTGATGAATTTGGCCACTTTGCATTACAATGTCGCGAACGAAAAGCAAAACAAAATGAGGCTCATATTGTCGAAGGGGAAGAACAAGACCCACATTTGTTTATGCACAAGACTCTTTATGAAACTATACTCCTAAATGAAGATCGCGTGATACCAAGTAGATACGAGTCAAAGGATAGTGACAAAGACATATGGTATCTAGATAATGGAGCTAGTAAACTTATGACGGGAAACCTATCGTTTTTTACGGAAATCAACAAACGAATAGGAGGAAGAGTCTAGTTCTTTGATGATTCGTTTGTCGAGATTCAAGGCAAAGGGTCTATACTCTTTGAAGGAAAAAGTGGAAAACAAAAACTACTTACCGATGTTTATTATATTCCAAAACATAAAGCGAATATAATAAGTTTGGGCCAAGCAACGGATAGCAGATGTGAAGTCTCCATAAAGAAAGACTATTTATTGTTACTTGATAGTCGAAATTCACTCATATTCTAAGTGAAGAGATCACCATTTAGGATAGCGAATATTAGTAAAAAGTTATGTATTTGCATCTATCCTCATTTGTCTACGCTATCTTCTTCCAATACCCCATTTAGGATCATTTGTACATGCTCGTTGCATAACTGTGAGTCTAATGAATACTAACTGTTAGTGATTAGGGTTTAGGCCCCAACCCTTTAGGGTTTTAGATTAGATCTCTTATGTATCCCTATTTACATGAGGTTTAACCTCATTATTTATCAATGAAACATTCTATTATATAACATGGTATCAGACCTCTAAGTTAAAATCTTACTGCTGACCACAACCCGTTACCGCCGCCCTCCACCTCCGACGGCATTTTCTCATAGTCGTCGGAGGTGCCTTCCTTATGTTCCATTTTTTTTCTCTTTCTTCTTTTCTCCTCCTAAATAATAAAACAGCCATCGACACCAAACTAGAGCTCTTACCTTGGCTTCTTCTACTGTCTCGTTTGCTTATGTCTCCTCGTCGGATGGCTCATGCCCTCTAAGCTTTCTGCCTTCTCCTCAATATGCCTCTTCTTCAGATCTGTTTTCGGAATCAGTCGGAATAGGCTCCGTCTGCCGCAACTCAAGTCCTCTTTCTTTCTCGCTGGTTTTCTCTAGACTCCTCCGCCGCCGCTCCTCTCTTCTTATACAAAGGAACCGTCGCTGACCGCCGCTTCTTCTTTCTCCCTCTCCAACGAGCAGTTGTTAGCCGTCATCGTTAGAGCTCTGACACCGTCGATGCCGCTGTTTTCATTTATGTTATGTTTTATGTTTTTGTTTTTCCAGTTTAATTGTCTAACTGGGGGGGGGGGGGGGATGTTAGTGATTAGGGTTTAGGCCCAAGCCCTTTAGGGTTTAGATTAGATCTCTTATGTATCCCTATTTACATGAGGTTTAACCTCATTATTTATCAATGAAGCATTCTATTATATAACAAATGCCACATCAGCTTTATGGTATTGGTTTGTTCATAGTGTAGTGTTGTGATTTCATAGAGTACTTGAAAACAAAGAATATTACAGAAAATAAATGGTCTCCAAACATTTGTTACTTCTACCCCAAAAAATTGCACACACTCAATACAGAATGAGAGAAGAATTGTTCCCATACAATCTATTGATATATTAGCTAACATTACACTTTAAAATGTGAACCAAATTTACTTATATTTGTAGCTGGTTAATGTTTTTTTGGCAATTAAAACTGGCTTAACATTAAATATCATGTCTTTGGAAAAATCTATGCTCATCAATATATGTGGAGGGAGAGCCCTTGTTTTATTTCTTTCCAAGATTGCAGTAATTAACAATTAATATTCACAAATGACAATCAGTTTGCAATTTCTTCCATGATCTATTGAGTATCCATGAAACACTTATACTTCACAGTTTTCTAGGATTTCTTGGAGCACATACCTCGTCTGTAGCAAAATAAGATTACATCTAACACATATACTTCACAATTTTTAAGTAATTGTGTAACATAAAAAATAGACACTGACCTACATGAACATTAGGCCAAATATTGGTAGTTGTATAATGGCCATGATAATTTGTATTTTGTTGGCAACTATTGATGGCGATTCTTCTAAATTTTGAAATCTAGAGAGTAAGCAGTATCTCAACCTCCTTCGTTCTTTACAACTTACTCATATAATTATATAGAATGAATAAGTAAACTTCATTTCAACATGGGATGTCAAATTAACCAATCTGTCTATCACAACAAGAGCCAAGCTTTGACCTTTGACAAAGAGAGTAAGCAGAGCCGGTTGCCTGTAAAAGACTATATATAAGATAAGCTGTAGGAATGAAAGGGGACACCAAGGATATTAATTCCTAAAAAGTGTGACTACCATCTTCAGCTATCGAAAGCTCTTTGTATGCATAATCCATATTTGTGAACTGAGAAACAATATCATGCAAACATGAGATTGCATTTATATGTGTGCTTCCAGTTGCTACGATTTACACACAACTTTTTCTTCCCTTCATATTCTGTATATCTTCAGATAGAAGATGGATGTCACATTTTTTAGGTACTTAGCTCGTCAAAGCTTGACTTATTTTTTGATACATAAAATTATTTGACATTACATCTATGTCATGCCATATCATGTTGAAATGAAACCACTAACATTGTAACAACAGCTGCAACACAAACTTTTAAGACACATTCCATTTAAGTTTAGCTTAGAAATAATGTAATTAAAAAAGAGCTTATTACTGAAACTTACTTTCCACTTCTGGGATATCTATGGCTAGCTTATATAATCCATCCATCTAAATCTTCTTGTTACCTATAGTAGTTAAAGATCATATTGATAAATTTTAATTATTTTTTCATGGCCCTGAAGATAAAAATCAAGAAATCATTCATCTTAACTTTCAGATACAATAGTGGCAAGAGGAGAATTTGAAATCCCAACCTCTGATGTCTTTGCCCGTAAAATTTATATTGGCCAGATTTGCCCTTATAACCTCTTATTTGTTTTGCCACATACACGAGCTACATAACCATAGTTTTCACCATCCTTAACACAATTAATAGCCTTAAAAGTAGAAAACTTCACTCTAGGTAATTGAATATATATGGAGGTTCCCTTGAGAAAATGGCGGCAAACTTTAAAGACCCACTCTAAAATAGAAATGTACTTCTGACTCAGAAGTACAATCTTATTCTGAAGTGGGTATTGAAAGTTTGTTGCCATTATGGACTGTGGTTCTCATCATAGTAAAAGTAAATAGACAGATTTCCCACCCATTCGACTTATTTTCCCCTGCACATCCAAGTTGTCATGCAACAATTATGTTAAGGTGGCTTGGTAACAGAGCTTCACCCCTACACAATCAAGTTGAATTGGTAATTTGGATTAATAAGATTATCTTTCGCATACAAAATTGATATTAAATAACTTAAAAGTGTCATTTTTTTAACAGCTAAGCAATGTTTTAAAAAAAATTCCATGCAATCTTATCTACTCTAAGAACATCAAAAAAACATAATATGAGAAATCTCGTTATAATGCATACAAGTTCAATGTACGAAGTTGTCTTCTCAGTTTGTAACATCTTTGATATCCTTTTTTGCCCTTTGTTACACCCATTTATCATTACACTTTTTTACCCATCTTATAGCATTAGTTTATTATCTTATTCCCCACTCATACTCCTTTTTGTTTTGTTAAAACACATATACACTTCTCATACTTTTATAGCATCATACTTTTGCTACGCATTAGTTACAACTTTTGCATCTTTTAGTATGATTTCTTATAACATACTCTTGTACACCCACACGTAGAGTGTCAACGTGTATGGGTTTCTTAGGCAACCAAATCGTGGATATCTTAAGGACAAAGAAGGTTCATTGATCCAAGTTCTTTAGGTGGTTGTTATGTGATTTTTTTTTTTTTACATTTAATCCCCTTACTGCCATACTTGCCCAGACTCCACCCCAACCTTAATTTCCTAACATTTTAAGTATCCCTTAATGTCCCTTTATCCCCTTAAGCTTTTATGATTAATTAAATCAATCCATCTTTCATTTTGGTCCTCTATACGTATTAGTTTTATTTGTTTATAAGCTAGATAATAATTAAATATTTTAAATGTTTTTTAATTATTATTATCGTTATTATTAGTTTTATTTTAAGTCTAAATCAACAAAATAAATAATATTATAGCATTTATGCGTGAATAAATATCATAAGCTATATTCTCTTACCCGAGAGAGATGCGAGTTTTACATAGCGTTTACCGAAACATTTTCCCTCTTAGTCCTAGGTCGATGAAATTGGAAGACAGAAAACAAGAAATTGTAAATGTAAATGTAAAAGCACAGGGAAAAACAATGAGGGAAAACGATAAACAAAAAATGTAATTTTATAACTTTAGTTGCATAAAAAATAGTGGTTAAATGAAAAAATAAAACATATAAAATGTAACTTCTATAATAAAAGTTGCAATATTTAATAAGATTTGCAACTTTTTTAAAAAGTTGCAATTTTCAATAAAATTTGTGACTTTAAAAAAATTGCAATGTTTAATAAAATATGAAACTTCTAAAACCAAAGTTGCAATTTCTAATTAAATTAGGAACTTTTTTAAACAAAGTTGCGTCAAATAATCTAGTACAATCTTTTTCCGGCGAAATCTTCTTTATAATCGAATGCAATTATTGTGAAAAGGTTGCATCTAAAAGGTCGTGTTAAACTCATTTTGTAGTGTACAGCCCACACATTGTGCGGGAATAAAATTGTATGGTAATATTGATAGATATATATTTTTTTTAAATATGAAGATACTATAATAATTATTGATTTTAAAACATGTAACCTACTAATAAATAAAATTGAAATAAGTATAAAAAGTATACCAACAAAATTTTACATAGCTTATCCGGTAATGAGTTTTTAGAAGTACAGCAATCTTCATTGACTTATTTGTTTACTACTACAAACATATGTGAAGTTTCTTAACAAAAAGTCATTCAAAGGAATACACACTGACATGATGCATGTAGGAACTTATGAAAAGAAAAGAACACTGAAAGAACGTTATATCGATAAATGTCAATTCAAAGCAGATCCTTCATTAACCGATTTGAAACATGTTGCATTGTTGGTATTTCATTTGGATTGGTGTTCAAACATGCTCTTGAGAGACTCAAAACCAACTTAACATGTTTCTCAACTTGGGAGGGGGGAAGAGGTATCTCACTATCTCCCATATTTGTTGGCACTAGATAATCATTAGCATAATCAGCAAACAGTGTTGGTAACGATGCTATCAGTTCTCCAAGATGCTTTCTCATGACCACTTCTAAAGCAACAACTCCAAATCTATACACATTCGCATTTCTCATTTGCCACCATCATATAAGCAAGCTCTACATCCAAAGAAACATGAGATAAAAACAAAAAAGGCTACATCAACCATACAAGATTCTAACATAGCTACATATATGTACATATACATATTTATAGATCATGAAACTTAAGAAGATATATATAACTACAATCACAAGATTCGGTTACCCGGCGCGATATAACCATAGGTGCCTGCAACTACGGTCTAGTTGGATGAATCGAGCTTTAAAAGCTTAGACATGCCAAAATCAGAAATATGTTGAAATATAAGTTAAACCTAGATTTATATTGTTTGTTATATTAGGTATAATTAAGTGTTGGTTAAATGATATTTAGGTGACAGTTATGTAACATTTTTTCTCAGGAAACAACAACCGTTGGTATGACGGGGTGCAATGATTGATATATAGAGGTGTGATGGTTCAAGAAAATAACTGTCGCATAAGGTGTATATAAATGTGTGTCACTACAAGAAATGAGAGTATTACCTGCGACAGGCGTCGCCACTAAAATTGGAGTTTGTCGCTACTAATACTTTTAGCAGCGACGCACGCTAATATTCCAAATGTCGCCGCTAATGCAATCCGTCACCGCTAAAGCCTTGTTGCCATTAATAAGCGGGCGTCGTCGCTAAAGGACTATCACCACTACTAACACCACTACTAACAAGCAGGTGTCGCCACTAAAAGCGTCACCGGTATTGGTATTTTCCATTTTTTTTCTTTTTTATTTCATATTAAAATTAAATATTACCATACAACATCCGTTCAAAATACTCCAAACAATTCCATTTTTTTCTTTTCTATTCCAAAATATTAATACAACATCCGTTCAAAATACTCATCCAACTTAACATAATAAAAAATATCGAAAATACTAGTCTAAAATACTTAGACAAACAAAACATTACAAAAATCCTACAAGTAGCTACTCGTCGTCATCGCTCTCCTCGTTTCCTCTGCTTTCATTTTGTTGTGACAACGAACGAAACCAATCTTCAAGTGTGACACTACATGCCAAATCTTTGAACATTATTTAAAGCATGTCCAAGTACAAAGAAAACAACATAGTCTTACAAGTTTAACCAACATTATAACATTCTATATATAAAATATACATTCCACATACAAGCAAAGTACAAAATATAGCATTGTACTATAACTAAACTTAGGAAAATATAAGCAATGTATAAAATATATTACCAAATAGACTTAAACATACATACTAGACATATTGCATATCACACATTATATCATTGTATTTTTTTTTTCATTTTTTCCATTATGGCATTGTACTTTCATAAACTAACAATTACCAAACTACAAAATACCAATATATCAAACTATAACCAAAATAACAATTACCAATATATAAACTATTACCATACTAACAACTACCAACATTTGAAACTATTACTAAACTAACAATTACCAGCATTTGAAAAAATTACCAAAATTAAATATTTTTGTTACATGTGATTGTGGCAGTGGCTGTGTCAGTGGTTGTTCCTGATCGTACATCGACACAACCGTAGAAGGTTTACGTCTAATGACTCTGATATGATCTCGTCGAACACCCAATATTCTTTCAAACCAATTTTGTATATCGTTTGGTGTTAGAAAACCGACTTCAAAAGAAGCTTGAGTTTGTTGACCGATCTCATGGAGTAAAACACTCTATATTTTCAAAAAATGATAAACATCATAAAAATTAGATTACTAAATACCCATTGACGATTAGTATTAGCCTTATGAAATGCTTCGATCGGAGTGATATCCTATTTAACATTAAAAATTATATTAATTATAATTCAAATAAACTGTTAAGTATATCATAACTTACTTCTTTGAAATAGGCATCGCTATACGAGCACGATCTCCCTCTGCTTACAACTTGCTGTTGTGCACAGACTCGTTTATTTGACGCCAAACGCTTTAAAAATTTGGTTGTTTGAAAATGTTCGACTGCTTTTGCTCAATTTTCACATGACAAACCCTTGGGGGGGTTGGTTAATGCCCTTGGGATATCTACAAATCCCCCCCCCCCCCCCCCCCCCCCCGACATTCTGAAAATAAGTATGTGCTTTATTTTTTTGGGCTCTAAAAACTTTTTGTAGAGTCGCATCAATGCTCCGCAACACCTAAGGACGCTCGGGATCCAAGTTAACCTTATCCAAATCAAACTTATTCAACAAATACAAAAAAATTAGTTAATTAAATACCAATCACAACTAAACTTAAAATATTATCCAAGTTACCTTTAGATGCACGACTGTGGAATTCCTTAAAGAGGGGGGAGCATTGTCCCAACCAGATACGCTCAAAGGGATGTTCATCCACATATACCTCCCAATGTCATGCGTAAACAAATTACCACGCTTCCCTATAGGGGAATATGTGAGCTCCCTGCGGAAATCCAAATCTACGGGCTTTCCCTTGTTTGCCCGTATCAGCTTTGATAACTGGATGTTTTTTTGATAGACCTCTTCTTTTTTTAGGAAGCTCAGCTGAAAAATATAATTAAAAATATTAATCAAGATAGCTTATAAGAAATGAATAATAATAGCTAATAAATATACCATAATAAGACTAACCGTTATGTTCGCGTTGTCCATGACCAAATCCTACTGGAGGTGGTGGATCCCCGACTCCATCACCTCCATGTCCTAGGCCCATAACATCTGCCATCATATAGAAGAGTACCACCCAACTAAACCCCATATATAGCCTACAAAATTACAAGATGTATAATATAGAAACACTATATGAATAAAAGTTAGCCTACAAAATTACAATATGAATAAAAGTTACACATATTTCATATACAAAAATAATACACTTTTCTATAAAAGCATCCTACTTTGTTTTTTTGTTCATTTTTTTCATTATAGCATTGTAGTTTCCAAAATGCATACAAATACATATACAAAAATAATACTTTCCATTATAGCATCGTACTTATTTTTCTTTTCATTTTTTTAACATTATAGTTTTTAAATTGCATACAAATACAAAAACTACAAATATAATTTTCTATACATACAAATACACATATTAAAAAATAATACTTTCCATTATAGCATCCTAATTTGTTTTTTTTTTCATTTTTTCATCTATATCATTTGTAACGCCCGTGTTTCGAGGCTAAGCATTGATGCGCTGATGTAATAGATATGGTCAACAAATATAACTCATTTTGAAGTAATAAAAAGGAATTATTCGAGTATTATGTGAATTATGTGAATTTATGTGTTTTATGCTTGTTTATTATGACATAATAAATCAAGAATGAAAATAAGCGCCAAAAATAAAAATATAGATAGACCCGTTATCTATGAAGAAAGTTGTAGTGGTCGTGACAAGGATTCTGGGGATATAAAGAACGCCGAAATCCGAGTTACAACGAAGAAGTTATGACTTGTCGAACTTTTGCGACAGAACCGGCACGACATTGCGTGACGTAAATAGTGAATTTATGATAGAGGAATTTTTAGCCTTAGTGATCTAAACGAAAGTCGTAGAATACGTTAGATCGAGAGCGTGCATGAAAAGAACGCCCAAATCCGACTTCGTATGAGGGAGTTATGATTTTTCTAAGTTTCGGCTTAGCAGTATGCAGCCCGGAGTTTGAATATTAGATCGAGCGGTTTTTGGCCAACGCAACCTAAATGAGAATTGAATATCTCATGTAACGACGTAATTTTTCAAAACAATTTTTCATTTTTAAAACATACTATCATTCGCAAAATATCAGAGTAAACCAATATATCACATGATATCATAATAACAAATCCCAAGATCTCAAAATACATAAATCCTCTCAATGTGTACGAATCATGCCGGCGCCTTCCCACGGTCCTCGCTAATACCTGAAACACATATCACCACAACTGTAAGCATAAATGCTTAGTGAGTTCCCCAAAATACCACATGCAACACATACGCCACTCGAGGCTACAATACGACCCTTCGGTCGATGTGTCTCAGCGGGACCCTCCAGTCCTGTAGCTCGTTGGACCCTCTGGTCAGGTCATAGCTCGTCGGACCCTTCGGCCCAGTCTGTATCGTTGGACCCTTCGGTCCGGTCTATATCGTTGGACCCTTCGGTCCGGTCTATACAACACATACCATACATATATCACATTGCACATACTCTCATACATACACATAGCACACAAGACCCTCTGGTCTACTCATAGATACCACTCTAGGTAATGTATAGTGAGAAGACTCACCTCGTATGATGTCTAGTAACTCACGTGCTCGATAATCCTGAATCTCGATACAACGACCTAGCCCCGCCTAATCACATAATCATTAACGACTCTCAAGGCTAGACTAAATCCCTTCCTATAATCCCACAGAAGGGTAAAAGACCATTTTACCCCCCCCCCTCTACAGGCCCGAAGCCCATTTGTCGACAAACCCTAAAAGTCAACACAAAAGTCAACTGTCCACTCTGACCAGACTCGCCGAGTCCATACGACGACTCGGCGAGTCCCATCGTCCCCACAGACTCCTCCCTTTCTAAGCCTTACTCGACTCACTGAGTCACCCCTCAACTCACCGGGTCACTACTGGAGTCAGACCCCGGGGCAACCCGGTCCGACTCGCCGAGTCTACATGTACACTCGGTGAGTTTTCTCCATGGACTTGCTCAAACAACCTCCTGAGGTCAGATCTGCTTAGCCAAATCATAGATCTAACCTTTAAGCACTCAAAAGTCACGTAAAGGTGCAACCTTTACGTGAATGCAACCCATATCAAGCCTCAAATGGAGAAATGACACTAGAAATGGCAACCAAATCTCCAATTCCTTATTTGCTTGTAAAAAGCTGGAAGATAATGACTCTAAGGACCTCTCATAGTCCAGATATGATGTTATTCATACCAAGGGGGACCTCATACTCACTAGATCTCATAAAGTTATGAAGGAAAAACCCTAAAACTATGAAATCCACCATATGAACGTGAAATGGGAAGAATTATATCTCCAA